GGTTTACGTGGTAGAACATGGTTAACTTAGGGTAGATGGGGGTTAACGTGGTAGAACATGGTTAACCTAGGGTAGATGTGGATTAACGTGGTAGAACATGGCTAACCTAGGGTAGATGTGGGTTAACGTGGTAGAACATGGCTAACTTATGGTAGATGTGGGTTAATGTGGTAGAACATGGCTAACCTACGGTAGATGTGGGTTAACGTGGTAGAACATGGTTAACGTAGGGTAGATGTGGGTTAACGTGGTAGAACATGGTTAACCAAGGGTAGATGTGGGTTAACGTGGTTGAACATGGCTAACTTAGGGTAGATGTGGGTTAACGTGGTAGAACATGGCTAACTTAGGGTAGATGTGGGTTAACGTGGTAGAACATGGCTAGCTTAGGGTAGATGTGGGTTAACGTGGTAGAACATGCTTAACTTAGGGTAGATGTGGGTTGACGTGGTAGAACATGGTTAACTTAGGGTAGATGTGGGTTAACGTGGTAGAACATGGTTAACTTAGGGTAGATGTGGGTTACGTGGTAGAACATGGTTAATCTAGGGTAAATGTGGGTTAACGTGGTAGAACATGGTTAACCTAGGGTAGATGTGGGTTAACGTGGTAGAACATGGTTAACCTAGGGTAGATGTGGGTTAACGTGGTAGAACATGGTTAACTTAGGGTAGATGTGGCTTAACGTGGTAGGACATGGTTAACTTAGGGTAGATGTGGGTTAACGTGGTAGAACATGGCTAACTTAGGGTAGATGTGGGTAAACGTGGTAGAACATGGCTAACTTAGGGTAGATGTGGGTTAACGTGGTAGAACATGGCTAACTTAGGGTAGATTTGGGTTGACGTGGTAGAACATGGCTAACTTAGGGTAGATGTGGGTTAACGTGGTAGAACATGGTTAACGTAGGGGAGATGTGGGTTAACGTGGTAAATCATGGCAAACTTAGGTCAGATGTGGGTTAACGTGGTAGAACATGGCTAACTAAGGGTAGATGTGGGTTAACGTGGTAGAACATGGCAAACTAAGGGTAGATGTGGCTTAACGTGGTAGGACATGGTTAACTTAGGGTAGATGTGGGTTAACGTGGTAGAACATGGCTAACTTAGGGTAGATGTGGGTAAACGTGGTAGAACATGGCTAACTTAGGGTAGATGTGGGTAAACGTGGTAGAACATGGCTAACTTAGGGTAGATGTGGGTTAACGTGGTAAAACATGGCTAACTTAGGCTAGATTTGGGTTGACGTGGTAGAACATGGCTAACTTAGGGTAGATGTGGGTTAACGTGGTAGAACATGGTTAACGTAGGGGAGATGTGGGTTAACGTGGTAAATCATGGCAAACTTAGGTCAGATGTGGGTTAACGTGGTAGAACATGGCTAACTAAGGGTAGATGTGGGTTAACGTGGTAGAACATGGCTAACTAAGGGTAGATGTGGGTTAACGTGGTAGAACATGGCAAACTAAGGGTAGATGTGGGTTAACGTGGTAGAACATGGTTAACTTAGGGTAGATGTGGGTTAATGTGGTAGAACATGGTTAACCTAGGGTAGATGTGGGTTAACGTGGTAGAATAGGCTAACCTAGGGTAGATGTGGGTTAACGTGGTAGAACATGGCTAACTTATGGTAGATGTGGGTAAATGTGGTAGAACATGGCTAACCTACGGTAGATGTGGGTTAACGTGGTAGAACATGGTTAACGTAGGGTAGATGTGGGTTAACGTGGTAGAACATGGCAAACTAAGGGTAGATGTGGGTTAACGTGGTAGAACATAGTTAACTTAGGGTAGATGTGGGTTAACGTGGTAGAATATGGTTAACCTAGGGTAGATGTGGGTTAACGTGGTAGAACATAGCTAACCTAGGGTAGATGTGGGTTAACGTGGTAGAACATGGCTAACCTAGGGTAGATGTGGGTTTACGTGGTAGAACATGGTTAACTTAGGGTAGATATGGGTTAACGTGGTAGAACATGGTTAACCTAGGGTAGATGTGGATTAACGTGGTAGAACATGGCTAACCTAGGGTAGATGTGGGTTAACGTGGTAGAACATGGCTAACTTATGGTAGATGTGGGTTAATGTGGTAGAACATGGCTAACCTACGGTAGATGTGGGTTAACGTGGTAGAACATGGTTAACGTAGGGTAGATGTGGGTTAACGTGGTAGAACATGGTTAACCAAGGGTAGATGTGGGTTAACGTGGTTGAACATGGCTAACTTAGGGTAGATGTGGGTTAACGTGGTAGAACATGGCTAACTTAGGGTAGATGTGGGTTAACGTGGTAGAACATGGCTAGCTTAAGGTAGATGTGGGTTAACGTGGTAGAACATGGCTAACGTAGGGTAGATGTGGGTTGACGTGGTAGAACATGGTTAACTTAGGGTAGATGTGGGTTAACGTGGTAGAACATGGTTAACTTAGGGTAGATGTGGGTTACGTGGTAGAACATGGTTAATCTAGGGTAAATGTGGGTTAACGTGGTAGAACATGGTT